GTGACCTTAGTCTTTTGAGTCAGGCACGTGCGTAATCTTCTACATTCGTATTTGGCTGGTTGCAAGAAAAAAGCCTTATGTTATATTTTTTGTGCTCTACGGCGGTTTGCTCTACCTGTCTAACAACCTTCCTTTCTAGCTTTGCTGCGTAATGTTTTCCCATTACAGACCACGTGTCATTCCCTAGAGTATCATTTCTTTGTTTAACGATTGCGCATGAGAAGAAACATGAATGCGAATACAACTCAAATAGTTTTATTCCCAAGAGTATGACAAGTGGGTTGAAATTGGAAAACATGACGCCAGAGCTAGAAAGGTCTATTAGACGTTACATGTTCGTGATGTTACTGTTGTCCAGGTGTGATGTGTTCCTGTAGAATAGGCTACAAACTAGCCGCGGACAACAAGACCTGTAAAGACGTGAACGAGTGTAAAGATATCTCCACGTGCTACCAGCGGTGTTACAACTTGAGAGGGTCTTTTGATTGTAAATGCGTGAATGGTTATAAACTGATGCCAGACAGAAGACGCTGCAAAGCAGCAGGTAGGATATTGATTAGGTTCGATTTCCAGCCGCGGTGGTTTCGGTGCGCCCGCGATGCTCTCAACATTCCGTGAGGGGAGGCTTGGGAACAAACGATAACCTCACGGCTGAAACCAAGCCTAGATACAAAACAGACCCGTTCAACAAATGTAAGGAAAATAAGCAAGTGAAGGCCTAAACCTCATTTTCAAATAAAATTTTTGCTTTGGGTTAACATTTTGATTCCACTTTCATCGGACATCTCCAATTCCAAACAAGTTAAACTTTCTGAATAACAAGATTTTAGCTTTGTACAACAGCCTTTCTTCAAGAAAATCATTTTTGGCGCTCACAGCTTGAATGCGAAAAAAATTCTCACTTAAGTGAAAATAAAGAATTTTCTGGGTTTTTTTCCCCACCAGATAATCACATTCCTCATCTTTACTTTTCGACCCGCAATGAAATCCACAAGATCGACATTCCATTGGGCAAAAAATACACTTTCAGTGCTCTTGGGTTGAACGACGCTATCGGTTTGGACTTTGACTGGAAGGAGCAGAGAATTTATTGGTCTGATCTAAACAAGGACACATTGAGTCGCTGTTTCTTCAATGGAACTGGCATTGAGTTGCTTATCTCTGACGGACTTTACTCCCCTGAAGGTATATGGAATATACTGTGGTTGAATAATCGCGCACACTATTATGATACTCTCTGGCTTCAACGATACGCACGCAAGGGGTGCACGAAAAAGGGTATTGAGCACTGGGGATGCGCTTCTGATCGCTGTATTTGAGTTCATAGACACGCCATCATATGTGAGAAAAGTTGCTTGTTGATTCTCTTCTGTGCTTCGAGGGTTTTTCTCGGTTCTTCTGGTTTTCTCTCTAGAAAACCTATAAAAACGCGAGGCAAATGCCACTGTTTTGTTTTTACTCTAGTAGACAGTAGACTTACTGTTTTAGACCAATATATAGTAGAATGGAAAATCAGATTCAAGATAATAGACAGGGACCGCGGAGCATAGTTTTAAATGGGGGAGGAAGCTAATCTAGGTGGTCCGGGGGGAGCCCCACCTGAAAATATTGAAATTAAGGATCTCGGAAATGCGACTGCCAGTGCAGGGGTTTTGGGGGTCAATAGCAACATATTTATTGCTTTCGTCAAATGCCCCGCCTGCGCAGTCCTGATAATGGTTCTTTAGACTATATGATGACATCATTTATAATGTTTAGGTGTGGCTGTTGACTGGATTGGTCGTCGGTTGTATTGGTCAGACATGCGAGGAGATCGAATCGAAGTGTCTACCCTTGATGGAAAATGGCGTACGATTTTGATTTCTGACGACTTGCGGTCGCCTAGGGGACTGGTACTGGATCCACGTGATGGGTAAGATTATTATTATGTCATCAAAGATTAAGAGGAAACCACAACCGAGGACCGTCATTTAGATGTTTTCCACTAAGATGCCTGGATCCTTAGGCCAAAGCAAGGAATGAGAGCTCCTGACTTGTACTTGATATTTCTCTTTATGCTTCAAATATCGTCTCCGCTTCACATTGGTTGTTTTCTCATGAACCAAACCAATCGATCTACATTTGGCATATCCCTTAACATCTATTCATTGCTATAGAAAGTCCGATTCAGATAGAAAATGAGTTGGCATATCCCTTAACATCTATTCATTGCTATAGAAAGTCCGATTCAGATAGAAAATGTTTTCTTCGTTCAAGAATATTTTAAGTTGGAAGACTCATTACCCCACCCAGTTATGGAGTATAAAGGAAGAGTTGTTTTATGACACTAAAATGTGCTGTTGTTTTTTCATTCTCTTTAGGTATCTCTTTTGGAGCGACTGGGAAAACCCCCGTATTGAGCGTTCATCCTTAGATGGTACCAACCGCAATGTGTTGGTAAGCAAGAAGGTCATTTGGCCGAACGGACTCACACTGGATTTCACTACAAGGTAACATTGATTTGTACCATTGAACAAGAAAGGTTTTTCAGTCATACAGGTATAATAACTACCACAAAACCTGAAGCAGTCGTAACCGAAATACCACAGCAACAGCAACTGCAGTAACAACATTTGACCAGCAACAAAAACTTCAGCAGCAGCAGCAGTAGTAACAACAATAGCAACAGAAGTAACAATAACAACCACACAACAACAACAACAATAAAAAACAACAACAACATTAGCAACAGCAGCAGCATGAAAATGCGTGTGGGATGAATAAATTATCTACATGATTGACATCTCAAGCCACTAAATTGTTTCAAGGCTGAGCTCAGATAAATAAATGTAACATGATTTGCACCATTGAACAAGAACGTCATACAGGTATTAATAACAAGAAAGTCATTTAGATGTAATAACAACAACAAAATCTGAAGCCGTCGTAACAAATACCACAGCAACTGCAGTAACAACACTTGACCAGCAACAAGAACATCAGCAGCAGCAGCAGCAGCAGTAACAACAATAGCAACAGAAGTAACAATAAAAGCAACAACACGACAACAACATTAGCAACAGTAGCAGCATGAAAATGCATCCGGGATAAATAATTGACGAGCATGCTTGACGTCTCAAGCCACTAAAATGTTTCGAGGCTGAGGTCAGATAAGCCAATGTTTTTAGCCTTGAAAGAATCCGTCCTCTGTCAACCATAACCTGTCTTACGAATTGAACGAATTTTCAAAGCCCTTTTCAAAGTGTTTTGAAACAAAGAGCTCCAGTTTTAACATTTGTGTGTTAAGCCAAAATTAGGACCATTACCAAGAAACCGTGTTCTCTTACCACTACTCGAATCAATCAAACAAAATTATTATCGATAAGGAAGACGACAAAACTTTGACTCGATTTTCTAAGTGGCGTAGCGGTTAGACAGCTCGCTTCTCACAAGTTCGACCCGGGATTGAATCCCGCGCCGGGCTCGGTGTCGTAAGTGATCATGAGTAGAGTTGCTTGTTGGTTCTCTACTGATCTTCGAAGGTTTTTCTCCTGGTTCACCGGTTTTCCTCCCTGCACAAAGATCATCTTCTAAATTCCAATTGGAATCCAGCGAAGAAGAGCCACTCTCTGGAACCCACTATTAAATCCACTATTGAATCTCATTATTATTTTCTAAATTTCAGACGCGTGTACTGGATTGATGCGAAGTTAAAGCACCTTGAGTTCTGTGACTATGATGGTTCTAATCGTCACCTGCTGTTAAGTGGAAGTAGCAACATTCAACACCCATTTTCCTTGTCGTTATTTGAGGACTGGGTCTATTGGTCTGACTGGGGCCAGAAAAGAGTGTTACGTGTTGATAAAACACATGGCGGGAACGTGAGCTCGATGTTTAGAGGTCTCATGAAACCAATGGATATTCATACTGTACATCCTCTCAGACAACCTCAAGGTAAGAACTATTTTTTTATAGGATTGATTCATCCCTTATAGCAGCTTTGCACCATCACGTGATGGCAGCCATGACAGGAGGCAGGAGGAGGAGGAGGAGGAGGAGGAGGAGGCAGAATCTGGTCTAATCTGATTTACATGAGAAAAAAATCAGTTTCTCTAGTGAAAAATGCTCCATTGTTGTGCCTTCTGTCATGGCTGACATCACGAGGTGGTGCAAAGCCTCTATTGATGTTTATGGCCCTTTTTCAGTGGGGGGTAGGGGGTATATATAGTATGAAGAGAGATATCTAATAAGTTCTATTCACATGTGGCGCCGAGTCCAGGAATCAAACTAAAGACCCTAGGGCGAGGGACGAGTGCAATACTACTACTACGTCATCCTTGTTTATTTGACCCTTGGACTAAAATTTTGATGATGCGCAATTGTTATTTTGTAGTTTCTTTTAACACCGAAGTACTTTGCATTTTCTGTTTTGCAGGAGTCAATTACTGTTCTAATGCGTCCTGTTCGCACCTGTGTTTGTTGGTTCCTCGTGGATATGTATGTAAATGTCCAGTAGGAATGACACTCAATCAAGACCAAATTACTTGTGGAGGTATGAATATATCACGCACTTTAGCATATTAGTTAAAGAGAAGCTTCATCCTGCTTCCCTTGCTAACTTGTAAAGGTGGAAGGAAGCACAGTGGACCACCCAAATCTGCTTATGCAACCTTCATACAGGACCACGGCGGGGGAGGGAGAGAGGGAGAGGAAAGGGGAGGGGGAGGGGAGGGGTGGAAAGCACAGTCAAACAAAGAATCTTATTCTCGAGAGAATAACACTGAAATGGAAAAACTTTACAAACGAGGTCCATAAATCTTGTCCGCTTACTGTAAAAGAGCCAAAAACAAAAATCTAATGCGATCTTTCGGTGACTTTGTCAATTTGGGCCGGGTCATCAAGTTTCTCTCTCCTCCCTAGCTCGTAATCATTCTTATCGCAGTGCTTCTTTTACCAGATAACTTCACAGCCCTGATTTTTGCCACTCGTAACCAAGTCAGTGGAATATCCCTTGATCCTAACATGACCGTGGACTCCGTCCTCTCCGTGCCACAGCTCAACCAGGCCGTAGCTGTTGACGTGGAGGTTTCTCGTGGTTTTTTTTATTGGTCAGACGTGTCGGATGGCACGATTTCTAGGGTGGCCATTAATGGGTCACTGAGACAGACCATAATAAGGGGTAAGGTGTTTGCGGGCGTGTTTCTGGGCCTGATTCCTAGCAGTTARAAGTAAACCTGAAGCTAAAGGTCTCTATTATTCTCTGTTGTGAACGAGTCTTATGTAGCCAAAAAAGAATCTGGTTCGGGTTGACATTGCAGTGCATTGTGACACTTTCCTCAATGTCCCTTGAAACGGTCCCACAATGCACTCATCACTCATGATTGTAAGCTGCACGGCTGCTAATAGCGCCTCAATATGCAGCCCGTAAAGTCCTGYACTGCAATGTAAAGCGCATTGAGACATTGCGAAATGCGCTATAGAAGAACCCCATTATTATTATTATAATGCCAACTCGACCCAATTTTTTACTCGGCCTCAGAATGACTAATATTGTTATTTAATCTTAGACTAAATATTTTTACTGTTTGATAATTTTAAGGCACCCCCAAACCAGAAGGAATCGCTGTTGACTGGATCGCAAGGAACTTATATTGGACAGACTTGAGTCGTAAGAGTATAAATGTAGCTCGTCTAGACGGTTCCTTCTCTGTTATTCTTTTAACCAAAGACATAAGTAAACCAAGAGCCATCGCTGTTCATCCAGCTAAGGCGTAAGTTTGATATTAGAGAGCTTAAGATTCTCGTTTACTTGCAAACGTGAAACGTCAGTTGACCATTAAAAAATTCTTTATAATTAGTGAAAAGGAATCGCAAAAATCTCCAAGTAGTAGATAAACAAAAGAATACTTGTCTTTGTCGAGAAGGTTTGCAAAAGGTAAAGTGAATTGTAGGGAAACGATGAAAACGTGGTCACGTTTGCCGTTTGCGGGAAGGAAAATGTGAATCTTAATCTGCCTATTGTTGCTTTTTACATTCTATATGTTTGTAAGAGATGTTCATCGATGTGTACAGGAAAGTATATGATAATTCTGATGTTGATGGTAGATAATGCATAATGGGTAATGATGATGCTATGCATGATGATGATGATGATGATGATCTAGACGGAAGTGATGTAGCTTGGGAAGACACGATGATGTAGCTTGGGAAAATCATGTGGTGATAATAATGCTATGATGGTGATGATAAGATGACAATGACAGTGGTGGTGGTGATGAAGATGATGAAGATGATTGATACTTATAATGATGATAATGATGCTGAATGAAAATGATGATGATAGTGATGGTGGTGGTGGTGATGATAATGATGCTGATGATAGTGGTGGTGGTGATGATAATGATGCTGATGAAAGTGGTGGTGGTGGTAATGATGCTGATGCTGATGATAGTGGTGGTAATGATGCTGATGCTGATGATAGTGGTGGTGGTGATGATAATGATGCTGATGATAGTGGTGGTGATGATAATGATGCTGATGATAGTGGTGGTGGTGATGATA